GGCTGGATCCTCACACCCCAGCAGAGTAAACCAGAAATCTGGGAGAGAGTTTGATGCTCTGCAGGGCAGGGATGTCCAGCTGGCTGTCCCTGGGCAGCTGGAGACAGCTTCAGGGCCTCTGTGAACCAGGGAGAGGCTTTGCTTGGGGAAAGCTGGGACTTTGAAGGATCCTCTGTTGATCCTGGGCTGTAAGGAAAACATCCAGGAGGAAAAGCAGGGCTGCCCATCCTGCTGGCACCCAGCTGCCTTCTCCTCATAGGAGAAACCAAAGAGGAACTCGAGAAGGGGCCTGAACTGTCGTGTCCCCATCAGGATTCTCACATGGAGGAGCTTCTGCCCAGCCCTCTGTGTCCATTCCCTGCTGGGATTGGGTCGTGTCCCTAAATACTCACGGTGRAGCTGACACTGGGGCGCTCACAGCCCCTCCACCAGGGCTCCCAGTGAGGATGGGCGGCCAGAAGGGCCTGGTTTGTGTCCCCAGAGGGGCCCCCTGTGCTGGGAGCAGCTCTCAGCCTGTCCCCACCCAAAGGGGCCGTGCCGCTGGCAGGGGGGCTCGCAGGGGGCACAGTGATGCATTCCAGCTGAAACTTGTACGGCAGAGGTATTTTAAGTATATTGGTTTAAAGAAAATGGTTGTGAGCTTTGCTGGGGCAGATTGAAAATTAATTTCTTTTTTTTTTTTTTTTTTTTGGGCCATAAAAATTCCATTTCTGCTGTGGAAAGTTTTAACCCCTTCCTTACCCCAGAGCTTGTTTCCAAGGGTATTAATGGAGAATTATTTTAACTGATGGCTCCCCAGTGAACTGTTAATAGATTTTTTGGGAAATGTGTGTGTTCTTTGTGCTGGGCTTTTTATCTGGACCTTGTTCACAGTGACCTGTGTGTGGCTGGAACCTTCCTGCTTCCCTGCCCCTGTGTRTTGGGCAGGGTAAATACAGATCTGTGCTGAGGAAGAGGGCAGGAAAAAAACTGAGCAAGGATCTGATGGTCCAAAAGTGGAATAAAACTGAATGGAAAGGTGTGGAGAGAGAAAGGAACTGAGCTCCAAGGCCAGTGAGGGGGAGGCTGCCCCGTGACACAGGAGGAGGGAGGAACATGGAAATGGGGAGTGGGCTCTGTGCTGGGGGGCTTTTGAAGATCCTGCTTCATTTCCAGGTGCCCAGATGTGCACTCCAGTCCCCGTCACATCTGGAGAGCACAGTGATTTATTCTTTATGTGTACCGTCTTCCCTGTGGGCACCTCTTAAGGGGGTTTTGAGCAGCTCTTCCTTGCAGCTCTTTATTTAGGGGGCCATTTGAGCTGCTGAGARGTTTGGTCGCTCTGGAAAAGCCAAAGAGTGAATCAGAGCCGTTTATTTCCTGTGTTTCGTGATCTGCTCGTGTTTTCCATCTTGCTTTTAAGTGCAACATCGACCAGTGGGACTGGGCAGCGTTTTGTTTTGGAAAAGAGCATCTTTCTTCTCTCTTTTAAAGCACCRCTTTGAATTTCACTGGCATAAAACGCTGTCAAATCATAAATAGTCTCAAACCTCAAGTTATTTTCTTTACCTCCACGCTCTGCAGGGAGTGACAGCAGCAGCRCCGCTAACGCTGGGAGGATTTACAGTATTTGCTCGCTGCATTTATTCCCAGACCCAGACTCCTTTTGCCTGAGMCACGCAGGAGCCTTTTCCCTGTAAATTTTGGGTTGGATTCTCCTCCCTTGTGCCTTTATCTCCAGTTGTTTGCATTCACGGAGGAAGGAGTAAACACCAGGCAGAGTTTCAGCCCCTCCATCTGCTGGGGGAAGGTGGCTTTGATGAGGAGATAGCCCTGACGCCAGCCCCACTGGAGCTGCTGTGAGTTGTAGCTGCCTACAATGATAGTTGTTAAAAACCCGTCCTGTACCACCGCGGGACTCAAATATTTTCCTTTCTTCAAAAAGAACGCTAACAAGCCCGCCTCTGTTCCAGCAGAAGTGGGAGGGGGGAAGAAAACAGAACAAAAAGTGGATTTTCTTGTCTGTGCATAGAAGGGCAGCGTGGAAAAAAAAAGTGGAGGGAAAAGTGGAATATTTATTTAAAAGGCAGAAGAGGAGGCGGTGGYGTGCCGGCCGCCCCTGCTCGCTGCAGAGTGGTAGTGGCTAATAGCTGGAGGCGAAACTAATCCTTGGCAGGGGATGAGACACAGCACAGGCCCCCCTGATTTGGGGGCTTGCTGAAGTGCTTGTTTTATGTCAGGGCTGCGGGATGAGTTCATCTTTGCAGGATTTGGTTGAGTGCACTGGGAGATAAAAGGAGGGAGAGGAGCCCACGGCAGCGCGGGGGGCACTGGGACAAGGACCCTGCGAGCTCCTGCGGGCAGTGAGCCTGCAGCTGTACCCTCTCGGGGCTTTGCTTTCCTGTGGCCATGGAGAGGTTGCTTTTTTGGGGTTTTAAAGACTTTCCTGTCCTCTGGCCAGAAAAAGAGAGGAAACTTCTCACTTCTTGAGGTGCAGTTAACTAAAACTCACCTGTTGGAAGGAACACAGGACGTCTCCAGAAACACTAAGAGCTGGCAGAGTTGTCACTGCCAGGCAGAAGATATAGGATGACAGAGATTAGGAGAACATTGGCAGGGGGAGGGATGGGTGGATGGGGATGAATGGATGGATCAGGGATGGATGGATGGATCAGGGATGGAGTGAAGTTCCTGCCATAAGTTGCATGGAAGTGCTTTAAATGAAGCTGTATCAGATGCACGTTAGAAACCCTTCCCCCGTTTTCATTTTGCCCAGATGTTTCCCAGCTCCTGGAAAGCAGAGATGGCACCAGGGCTGGTGGCATCTCCTGCACAATATTCCTGTAGGATCAGGACTGTTTCCCTCCAGCTCTGCTTCCCCCCTTGTATCTTAATTTGCACTAAACCATGGGAAACTCCTGTTTAAGTGTTTATTGCTGACTGTTGCCCTGACTAATTGAGCTGCTGGGGACAYTGGAGGTTTGGAGGCATCCCATCCTTAGTCTGTAAGGGAAATGCAGGGGCTGAGCAGTAGTTYCTCCAAAATGCAATAACAAAACCAAGTGAGCTAATGGGCATGGAGGGCTTTGAGGAGGTTGGGAGGTTAAGCAGATGCAGAGCTCGGTAATTGCTAGCAGCCTCCAGCCCCGGCACATGAAAGGCTCTGAGCTGCTCTGCAGCCCCCAGATCACTTGAGTGGGGCAGCAGCAAAGCTCAGCCTTTTGGGGGAGCTTTGGGAAGGTACTGGGAGCATCTGTAGGGTGTCTCRGGGAAAGATGACTGTGGAAAAAGTGGGTGCTGTGGAAGATGGATGGGGCTCCAAGCACCCTGGTCTGGTGGAAGGTGTCCCTGCAGGGAGGATGGACTGAGATGGTGTCCCCAAAACTGGGAYCTGTGCTGGGTGAAGGGGTTGGTTCAGGCTGATGGCACTGCCCACWGCCCAGCCACCCTTCCCCCACGGCCCGCCCCCAAAATTTGTATAGTTACAACTCTGGTTAAACTGCAACAAAGCCGCTTAATTCAGAGCTGGTTAATGGGGAGGGGAGCCCGGTCCCCTCCGGGGTAATTTGAGCCTGAAAAGAAGTGGGGCTGGAGGGCCGTGCCTGAAATCCGGTGTGTCAATGGGGGCTCTGGAGCAAAATAATGGCATCACCCCGCGGGCGAGTTAATGGGACATGATGGCACCGAGGCACCGGGGTCAGCGGGCCGCGGGCGCGTGAGGGATTGTCAGGGAGCTTAATGCCGGCCACGGAGCGGGGCTGGCTCRGGGCACAGCTCCTCACTGCAAATTCCACAGCGCTTCTGTGCTCACTGGGGTGCTAGGAGGAGCACAGKGATGTTCAGCAAGTGGTTAATTCACCCTCTTTGGGGCTCCCTCTTTTCCTGTCTTCCTTCTGGAGACATCATAAATTCTGGAGGCATCGTAGATTAAACAGATTTCTGGCAGCCTGCGTCCCTCCTGTCTTCCCTGAGTGTAATTCCTAGAAAGAAGAGACGTTTCTCATTGTCTGGAGAGAGTTCCAGTGGGTTTGTAGAAGGACATGTATAGTTCAGAGCAGCTACTCCCCCTTGGCGTGAAACGCTTCCTCGGATTTCATGTTCCCCGTGGGAACATCAGCGTGGCTATCGGAGAATATTGCACAGCGGAGACACCCRGCGGGTCACTTATCCTGGACGTGCCCTGGGCTCAGCTCTGCACTCGTGGGGCCTGGAAAGTGGGGATTGAGGAGCAGAGCGGTGCAGGGAGAGCCTGGGGAGCCGCCAGGCTCAGGATAGCGGGGCAGTGTCCGTGCCAGCTCCCGTGGGAGCAGCRCAAATGTCCTGAAGACCAGGAGGACCAGGGAGCCCAGCTGCTGGACACAGGGTTGGACATTAAACTGGGGAGAGAAGGATGTGCTGAGCTCATGGGAGCTGGTGGGTGTCCTGTGGGGTCTGCAGCTGGGGCTCGAGCTGCCTGTCTTGGTGGCAATTGATGTAATTGATGGCGAGTTTGGGTCGGACRCAAGCTTTGAGCTGAAGATGAACTTGGGCTTGAGCACAAATATTGGGTTGAGCACAAACTTTTGGGTTAAATAGAAGTTTTGAACACAAATTTTGGGTTAAATACAAGTTTTGGCTTGAACACAACAAATTTTGGGTTGAACATGAAGTTTGTGTTGAACACAAGGTTTGGGTTGAACACGAACTTTGGGTTAAATACAAGTTTGGGTTGAACACAAATTCTGGGTTGAACATGAAGTATGTGCTGAACAGTTTTGGGTTGAGCACAGGTTTTGGGTTGAATACAACTTTGGGTTGAACACAGATTTTGGACTGAGCATGAAATCTGTGTTGAACACAAGGTTTTGGTTGAGCACCATCTTTGGGTTGAACATGAAGTTTCTGTTGAACACGAGGGTTGGGTTGAGCACAAGTTGGGTTCTCACTGAGCCAAGCTGATGGGTGGGAGGAGCTGTTCCCACCCTCCATCCCTGTGGTTCTCYGGGTGATCCCATCACTCCTGACCATCTCTCTCCCCACAGACGCCAGCACGTCGCCCGATGCCGTGAAGAGGAGCCATTGGTGCAACGTGGCCTACTGGGAGCACCGGACGCGCGTGGGCCGCCTCTACACAGTGTACGAACAGTCTGTCAGTATCTTCTACGACCTACCTCAAGGAAACGGCTTCTGCCTCGGACAGCTCAACCTGGACAACAGGAGCGAGACTGTGAGAAGGACTCGAAGTAAAATCGGCTACGGGATTTTACTGAGCAAGGAACCGGACGGGGTGTGGGCCTACAACCGCAGCGAGCATCCCATCTTCGTCAACTCGCCGACACTGGACATCCCCAACTGTAGGACTCTGATCGTGCGCAAGGTGATGCCGGGCTACTCCATCAAGGTGTTTGACTAYGAGAAGTCCTGCCTGCTGCAGCACACGGCCGAGCTGGATTACGCAGACGGGCCCTACGACCCCAACAGCGTCCGGATCAGCTTCGCCAAGGGCTGGGGGCCCTGTTATTCCAGACAGTTCATCACGTCGTGTCCGTGTTGGCTGGAGATTTTACTCAGCAACAACCGATAACGGTCAGCCTCTGACGAAAGGAAAACACACAGCGACAAAATACAAAAAAAAAATACAAAAAAAGTTACAAAAAAAAAAAAAAAAAAAAAAAAAGACACAGACTATCCCAAATATCATCTACCTAGATTTAATATAAAGTTTTATATATTATATGAAAATATATATTATACTTGTAATTATGGAGTCATTTTTACAATGTAATTATTTATGTATGGTGCAATGTGTATATGGACAAAAACCAGAAAATGCACTTTGGCTTATATAATTCTTTCAATACAGATTTTTTTAAAAAAGAAAAAGAAAAAAAAAACAAAGAAAAATTATACAGCAAAAATAGGAGAAAGCCCTAATTTTGATGTATGGTTTTTTGAAATATTATTAATACCCAGACAAAAAGCTAATACCAGTCACTCATTGATAATAAAGTATTCGCATTATGGGGGGGGATTTAATTGTCTTTTTTCTCCCCCCCCAGCTGAAGTTGGCAGCAGTCAGGGGGTGCCAGGGGGCAGCTGCTGTCTCCCATCTCAGCCAGGACCCTGGAAAAAATAAAAAATTAGTTGGAAGGCTGCAGTTGGCTCCAAGGGGAGGGTGAGTTAGGCCAGTTGGAGAGCCAGGGAGCACTGGGAGGAGGTGAGAGGAGGATCTCCCATAGCTGTTCTCACTCAGGGCTGTCTGATCTCTCTGATGACACAAAACATGGTGGGAGCGTGGTGAGGATGAGTGTGCACGTCCATGTTTGTGCAAATTAATCCTCATCAGTGCTAATCAGTGAGAGAATCAGAATATTCCATGGCTACAAAGCCACGCAGCACGAGCAGTTTGGATTGCTGGCCTTACCCTGGGGTTGTCTGTGAGTCCTGCAGGTCCCAGACGTGTTTGGTGGTGGAGAAACAAACGGAGGTTTTGGACACCTTGTGGTTGGGTGGATTTTGGGAACATCTCCAGTGCCTTGGAGGAATCACGAGTGGCTTTGTTCCATCCAGGCAATAAATGATCCAGGATTGTTTGGGAASAATATATTTACTCTGAGGAGCAGCTGCAGCCAAAGAAATGCCCTGGGCAGATGTGCCTGTCTCGGCTGATTTGCTCTCCCTGGCAATCCTGGATGCATTCAGCCCCTTTGCTGTCCTGTGCCCAGGGGCTGTGCTGGGTCAGGGAGGTTATTTATTGCCAGGGATAGCTCTGCCAAGTCCTAGAGCTCTGCCACAAATCCCTGTCCTGTGGATTTCCATAAAATCCCAGCTTTTGGAGCCCAGTGACTGGGAAGCTTTCAAGGTTGCAGAGGATGCTTTTGTCTCCTTCTGATTTGCAGAGCAAAAGGTGCAACGAGGCCTAAAAGAGTTAAATAGGACCTAAACTTCCAACTCAGAAGCCCTCCTGCTGCATGCCAGGGTCCTGCATTTTGGGACCTGGGCTTGGTATTCTGCCACAGCCACGAGTGAGGATGGGGAACCACAGAATTCTGGAATCCTGGAAAGGTTTGGGTTAGAAAAGAGCTTAAAGCCCATCCAGTGCCACCCTGCCATGGCAGGGACACCTCCCACAGTCCCAGGGTGCTCCAAGCCCTGTCCAGCCTGGTCTGGGACACTCCAGGGATGGAGGAAGGTGGGGACCTGGGCGGATGTTGGGAGAGCCCTGAGCAGGGAATGTYGCAATGACATTCCCATGTCGTTTTTTCAAATTACAGCCATGTTTGATGTTTAATTGGGACCACATTGGTTGAATTCCTGCAGCATCAGTGTTAATACTTGACATCATGAATTTTTGTTTGTGTTGCAGCCATTCTTAGGGAGCGGTGTCCAAACATGTCACTCTGGTTTAAAGCAGTGTTCAGGAGCTTTGCAGGGGTTTTATCCCTTTGGCTCAGGTTTGGTGGGTGCTGCCAAACCACCCACCTCCCTCATATCGCTTTCACACAGTCCAGCAAAAGGCCATTTTATGTTTTGGGGAGTTTTTAAAGTGATTTTTGTTAATACTGTCCTCATTTTTGGGAAGAACCAGCAGGAGTTGCATCTCACTGTTTCCTTTCCTTTTTCCCAGCATTTTCCACCACCACATTSACACCTTTCCTCCCTGTTCTCCCCCCTCCTCGTGCAGCAGTGCCACCATTCTCCACTTTCTACCCACTTCATCCATATTTTGGACAAAGTAGCACCAAGGATGGCTTTAGGGTTAACTCTGGGCTTTCCCTTGTGCAATCCATTGATGGTGCTTAATTCTCTTTTTTTTTATTACTCATGCCCTTCCCCAGGAATAAATCTGGAGTTTTATTTCAGTTGACAGYAAGGCTTTAAAGGGAATAAAGTAGGATTTGATGGTGAGGCAATGAAATAAGACATCAAGTATCCTTTTCTGTCTCATTTTGCCCCTTTAATACCATCTTTTTAGATGGTATAAAATAAATTTAGAACCCTTTAAAGGATCTTTAGGACTTCAAAGCTGTTGATCTGCACACTGGACCCTCTCAGAGCTCAGCTGGAGCTTTCCCTGTGCTGTGGTTGGGTTTGGGGCTGGGGATGAGCAGCCCTTGGGGGGTTCCTTGGGGAAGGGGCTGTTAATCCGTGCCGGGTTTGTGGGAGCAGCTGGACACGGTTGGGTTCATTACGGGGCTGAYGGGTCTGTGCTGTGCAGCCCCACAGCTGCTGCTGTTTACCCCATAGAACCAGGGTGACCACACCCCTTGTCCTTTCTGAGCAASCTCCTGAGCTTCTCCCAGTGGGGCTTTTCCTCCTTCCCGGTGGAATTGCGGTCTCCCAGCACCCCGAGGTAAGTGGGACATTCCCTATTGTTCCTTTAAGGTCTGTGTGGTGTTAACTGCATTTTTCGGTGTGTAAATTCACGAGGATGCTGGGCTGGGAGCGAGCTCCTGATGTTGCTGTGGAGCTGGAGCTGGCTCAGCTTTGTCCTGAGGATGAAACTCTCTGCACACCTTTTTCTGAGAGTGCCCAGCTTTTGGTGGAGGCATCAGCTGGGTTATCCTGGTGTTATGGATGCAGCCAGGAGACTGCAGTTTGTTTCTGGTTTCCCTGTGCCAAACACCCCAAWTCAGGACTGAGTGGAGGTCCTGAATTAATAACTGTAGTGTTGGACCTGAGTCCTTGTGGGTTGTGGAATGTGTTTGTGTGACAAGATCCTGTTAATTTGGCAAGAATGGGGTTTAGAACTCTGCACTGGGCTGGGGAGGAGCAGCCACATCCTGCTCCTGGGTCCCTGAGGCTGCTGTTCCTCCTGGGAGCAGGCATCCATCATCCCTGCTCCTTTGACTTTCCTTGCTGCTGTGACTGAGAGATGCTTTTCACCAGCCAGAATGGAAAAGAAATTAGTGCTGAAATCATCCACTCTCAGCTATTCCTAATAATGAGAGGCTGAGATCCCTCTGTGGCCCAGGTTTAGCCACAGTTTTATGGGGKTGCCACTCTTCAGGCCATAATCCTTCCTCTCAGGGCTTTATCTCCCCAGGAAAAGTGGAGGGGATTTGTTCAGTGCATTATTCAAAGCTCAGTGTTGCCCCCCACGAGTGGGCTACCAGGGAAAGCCAACAATCCCTGTTGGTGCTGAGGAGGAGCTGGAGTTTGGGTTTGGGGGGTGATGCTGCTGCCCTGGGGCTCTGAGGGGAGCGGGATGAGCCTCGGGAGCCTCAGGGGGGTTGTGGAGTTTTTCAAATGAACTCCAGGACAGGAGAAGCACATGTCTGTGGTACCCAGGCAATGAATGCCCTGTGGAGGAAGCTGCTGCTGCTGCAGGATGGGGCTTKGGGAGAGCAGCTGGGGGCAAATGCTCTGCTCCCTGGCTGGTTCTAGGCTCAGCTTTCCAGAAAATGGCACTGGGAGGCTGCAGGTTTGTGCTGGGGCTGGCAGATCCTGGTACCTTCCCCTCGGCATGTCTGTACCATGTCTGTACCTGAGCTATTTGGGAGCAGGAGCTGCCTGCTGGGAGAACACAGATCTGGGGACCACCACCTTCCTGGAAAGCAAAAACAGGGATTWACCTCCACCTCCCCTCACCTGAGGTGGGCTGGAGGTCCATGGCATCACTGGGTGACACCTCTGGGGCTGYTCCAGCCCCCCAAAACCACATCCAGGAGCCCAAGCTCTAGAGCATCCYGAGTTATTTCCTGTCAAGAACTCCTCTCGCTTCCCTCAAAGGCCTTATTTTCCGTCTGGGGCGTGATGAGGCATTACTGGCTGCTTTGTGGATAATCCTTCCTATATTCCTGATTTATGGCCGTGCTGGTGCGATGCACAAAGTGGCATCTGTGCTCTGCTCACTGTGGGAACAGCCCGAAATTGCTCCGAAACTCGACTGGCTTACAATTATATTGGATTCTATTAAATTAAAACACATAGCACATCTATTACACAATAAACCACAGCTATTTCATGGATCAAATTAAGTTTTATTTGGGCAAATTACAACCTTTCTTACAGTTGGGCCTTTGTGAAACCATTCCTTTTTAATAAAAAGAGGCATTTTTGGCAAATGCTCTTAAAGTGTGCATTCCCAATAATTGCATGTGCTRTTGCTATTCTTCCTGGGATATATGTGCCTAATTATCTTCTCTTTAGGATGGGTTTAAATGAGTGGTATCTTCCCTTTGCTCCTCCCCCACGCCTCCTTTCTGCTGGAATTTCTTACTGCTTTCCATTTTTATTAGCTTGGCTACGGAAGAGAGCAGAGAGGAAAAAAAAAAATCCTCTCATTAAAAGCAGGAGCGCTTTTCCCGGAATTTCTCGGGGAAATGTGACTCTCGCAGCCTCCCTSCAGCCCTGGCTCAGGGGGATGTGGGGCTGAGGGGGACAGAGCTGAAAATGGACCTTGGAGAGGTGGGATGGAGCTCTGGGAGGGTGCTGGAAGTGCAGCCCGGTTGTGGAGGACGGTGGAGAGGAAAAGCTTTGGAGAAAATCAAGGTGTGGGTTGAGGGGGGGCTTGGGAGGCTCTGGGATTGCGYTTGGGGGTTGGATTACCCTGCAGGCTCTGTTTCTGGGGTTTGGGGCTGGGCTGTCTCCTGTAGCTCCTGACTGGAGCAGGATTTTGTTCTGTGGCGTTTCCTGGCGCAGGGACAGGAAGGGGCTGTGGGGTGGCACAGAAGTCCCAAAAAACACCTTTGGCAACAGCTCATCCCCACAGGTCCTGTTAACAGCAAATTTGGGGTTCAGGAATTGTGGGGCTGGACAGGCARGGTGGCTCATTCCCACATTTCCTTAGGGAACTCGGCTGGAAAAGGAGCCCCCCAGCTCTTCTCCGGGT